CACAGGGATTGTCAGAATGCAAAAAAAGGGCAGTGTGGAGTTACCGTAGTTGAATACCTCATTGACATTCAACCCTTAATGTTGAACAAGTAACCTTTTGACGTTTGGCAACTGCTCAGGACAAAAAGGGACAAAATACAAACTGCGCTTTCTAAGTTTGAGGTTTTTTGACCCTGGAAAAGCCCATGCCACATGTTGCAAGGAGTCAACTTGATTGAGGAAAACAGTGAGATCAGATTCAATGTAATCTCTAGGCAGGACATGGGGTTTGGGTATTTCATTTGGATATGGGAAAAGAGTGATGTGATGCATTCGCTTTCCTATCTTGTTTGCAAGCAAATAACTGCACCGACAAGACTTAAGTCAAAGCCATTGTGACCCTTGAAGACTGCATTGTCCAAGGTTGAAATGGAGGCAGCTGGGTCTCCAAAGTGTACAGAAACACTTTGAATATAGGTTAAGACCCAGTACATGGGCTTGATGTATATGATTTTGATTGACTGAAATAGGAAAACAGCAGATAGAAGAGACAGTTTTTCTCTCAAATAATTATAGTGCCGTAAAAAAAATCACCTACATTTCCGAGTTTGTTTGACCACCAAAACCCTATGGCCAGGGTTGCCTCCTGGTGAGAGAGTTCTGTGTCATTGTGAAAGGGCATGTACATGTAAATAAGGTACATGTGAATGGATATGCGTGGTGGTGCGTTCGATTTTTTTTTTGTCTATTCTGTACTCCATCATTTCGAGGGGTGTGCACCCTGAATTTCAAACGGTTACTTATTCAACATTGGAATATCAAACGGTTACTTGTTCAGCACTGAATGTCAAACAAGGAACAAGGAACTAACTTCACATCAATAAAAAAAGTTTTTATTCATATATACCTTGTTAATTTACCTCTTACAGGGATTGCTTGAGCGTTTGGCTGCAGGAGAGTTGATCATTGGCGATGGCAGTTTTGTGTTTTTACTGGAGCGGAGAGGCTACGTTTCTGCTGCTGCCTGGACCCCCGAGGCATGTGTTCTGTATCCCGAAGCAGGTAATTAGCTGAAAAGCGGATGTGTCAGTGTACTAGCAGAAAAAAAGTGTACTGATAAAAAATTTTTGTTCCCAAGGTTAATGCACAGCAACAACCTTGCAATGGCATAACAGCTAGAGGCTGTTATGCAGATCTCTCATCTTACCTCCAATAGAGGTGGAACTGCCTTTAAATGCAAATATTAGGGCCACTTCAAATGTGCATGTGAGGTATAAGTCTTCATTGTTAAAGCTTATGTAATTATACACTACCACGCCCCCACAAGATTCCATTGATTATCTGCAAGACGTTTTTAGAAATATTTTGTTGATGTGCAACAGTTCGTCAGTTGCATCGAGAGTACCTACGAGCTGGGGCTGATGTCATGCAGACAGCAACGTTCTACTCATCCGACTGGCAACTCCAGCACGTGGCATCCTTTCGCAATGATGAGAAAATGAAGAATCTGGTGAGCACCATAGTTGTAGGGAGTGCACGGGGGTTGAAAAATGGTTATTATGGGGGCGATTTCTTGCCCCCACAACTCGGTCCATCAAATTTCCTCACAAGAAAAATTGCCCCCTCTACAGTGAGGGTTACTCTTCCTGAGTTGGGTAGGGTAACCCTCAATGGACAATCCAAAGATCCATTGTGAAATCAAGAATATTTAAGCCTCAGTAAAATTGAGACAGTTTAATGCACACTTTGTAGATTTTGTCATTGTACACAAAGGAGTATGTTCAAAATTCTTGGAAAACTCTTATCTTGTTACAGTGACATCGTGATCTCTTACAGGCAGGCTTAATAAGATCAGTTAGTGCAGTCAAACTACAATTGCCAATTTTCGTTTTCCAGCCAAAAAAATATAAACTTGTCTTTCACTGACAATTCAAAAGGAAACGAAGGAAATGTGTAAACTAAGTTAATTGACCTAGTTGTTTGGGCCTTTTCTGTTCTGGTTTTTCTGTAATACTAGTAAGTCCCACAGTTTAATATGCTCTCTTGCCATTGTGTTGTTTTTGTGTCTCCTTTCCAGACTACAGGTGACATCAACAGCGCTGCGGTAGATCTTGCAAGGGGTGTGGCAGAGGAGGGCGGAGCCCTGGTTGCTGGCTCGGTGTCACCGGTTTCCTCCATTGCATTTAAGAAGGGCAAGGAGCATGTAATTAATGAATTTCAGAAGCAGATGGCAATTTTTAAGGAGAAAAAGGTTGATTTCCTTCTAGGCGAGGTACGTGCACAGTATGAATTATTTTGTTCCAAGTGGTAATCAACAACACAGTTTTTACCCTCTTTCACCCATTTTTTTACCACATTGTATCAAACAGTGTCCATTCAGCCAAAATACCATAACTAGTTTGATCTTGAAGCAAATTCAGTATTTAAGGTAATAGTGGGGGAATTTATAAGAGATTATTTATGCATAGTATACAGGGGTACTTTAGTCAAGACTAAAGTACAGTATCAATATCCAAGATGGGATATACTCAGCCAGAAATGGTTAAATCCAGATGTAGAATTTAACATCTTTAATTAAATCTTTCTTTTCAAGAGGATTTTCAAGTTAACCTTTGACCGCTCAGGGATTCAGAACTCAACTGTAGTTGAAAAATATCAAGGCTACCTTAACAAACCCAATGCTTTTTACATATGGATATTTTGTAGAAATTAGGGGTCCAAAAGTGTGACATTTTTGTGTCCCTGTTACATCTGACCTTTGTTATTTAACATGGAAATATCACCGGAATTGCTTTCAAATTATAATTTGTTTGGCAGGTAATTTGCATTCATTCATCACTCTTGGAAATTAAAAAGTTGTGTTCTGAACGTACAAAATCATATGTCACATGTGTCAGGGACACAGAAAAAACTTAGACCCCTAATATCTGGAATTACCCAAATGTGTCCTCTGACAGTTTTTCATCAACATAGAGGAGGCTGAATGGGCAATTCAGATTATGGCTGAGATTGGCGTCCCTGTGGCCTGTACTATGAGAATACCTCCGACGGGTGATGCTTCTGGTTGTTCACCCCAGGAATGTGCTGTCAGAATGGCAAAAGCAGGTAACATTCATTACTAAATGCAGATGTGACTCACCATCCCCAAATTTTGAAGTAATCATCTGAATCGTGAATTATATAAGCCCCAATGAGATAAGTGAGTAATATGTTTTCAAGAAAGCCAGAATGTTTACTTCAGCTGGACTTTTGTGGAATGGATATCCAACACCGCATTCTGATCCGTTGGTCAAAGGCACATGAGGCAGATAGCATAGAGATAGCTCAGTTTGTCAAGTATTGGACACAGTGCTTCAGATGTGGATGTTTCTGTCACCTCTGGTCCTTGTCATTCACCTGACTGATGACAGTGTTCACAGGGTTTACCACATGGAGGTTGACGTGAGCCAGCAAGTGTAACAGGGAAAAAAGCACACTGTGGGGAATTCGCAAAACAACAAAAACTCTAACTAAACCAAGGATCTTTGAGGGAAAAGTCGCTGGAAACTGAATTAATAAGGACTCAGACACCAATAGTTGACTTCAAAAAAGGGACC